CGCAGAGCATGGAGGACTCGAGGTAAATTCAGGTTACAGAGTTACTATCCTCCTGTTTGCACCTGGAAATTCCGGAGGCTCTATTGCAGAAACGGTACACAAACTACTGTAGCCATGTCTTTGAATTCTTACAGAATGTTGGTTCCAGAACATCAGTATTCCGCTCCAGGATACCCGTTCATTGAATGGTACGCCAAAGAGACCTCTTGATTGTCATGTCTGAGAGATGATTTTTCACGTTGTACTTTATATTTACTTGAGACGAATTCATGTATTCCCAATAGTGCCAGTTTTGATGCACGCACAGATTGACTCAGAGAAATCCGCTGCTCAGAGAATATATGGTGGACCATGTACTCGAGTCGTAGGACCTGAAGGATATGCCGTGGATATGATTAGAGGAGGACGTCCATATATGATGACTTGAAACTATTCCGACTCACCGGCCACTATGCTCGTGATGGTCGGAGAAAAAATTACACAGCCACCTCTGAATTCGGTCGCAACCCACCCTGGTCCCCAACCTCCATTGGGGCGGCAGGCTATATCATTGCCCATGACATCAGACACAAGGATTCCAGATCACGCGAACAAATATGATGTGCGATTACACCACCATGTTCTGCTTCAGCTCGTGACGCCAACATGATAATCAGGTATCCCTTGTCCTGGGATATTCAGAACGTCAGATTTCTGACACAGGACAGCCATTATGCTGAGCACATGAGACAGGTAGCACTACCCTGGTCCATTTTTTCATGCCCCCGTCGCGGCGACTTGGAGGAATTAATATGTTCCTTGATGCTCTTCACGTCGGTTTGACTACGCATTGCTCTGTATTTCTATCTGGTCGATATATTCAGAAATGTAGAAGGCTCCTTGGTGCATAGCGTGTGGTGCGTTTCCTGTCAAAGGTTCGGTCTCAAAATTTCTCAGGAGGTATGGTGCAGGAGCTTCAAGGTGATTATCGTGAATCGCTATGACAAAGGACGAACTCAGGTACAGCTGGGTTTAAACGTGAGTCAATAGGCTGGATATCTTGTTTGATCTGATCAGCGTTCCTCCAAGGAATTGATCGTCACATATGTCCAAGCGTATGAATTATACCTTGATTTAGAAGTGTCTCAGTGCCAGTGATAGTCGCGGGATCTAGCATGAACAACGTAGAAGTACGGTAAAGATGCTCTTAAAATCTCAGAAGGACCGTACCGCATCCAAAGCTCCCAGCGCCTGGATTTTTCAGTTCCTTGAAGGGTTCTCCTTAACTGTTCTCTCACTAACCAGGTGACAGCCATTATCGACATTGAAGATCTGGTAAATATGTTTCTTGAATATAGGCGATATCATTGCCTGCCAGTCCTCGAAACGTTGTTTATGCGCCTTTGCTAGGGCCCTATCGCATTGGACGCTAGAAAAACGTGGGTATATGCTATGCCATCCAGACGTGGCGCGTGTCTACGGTTTTCATCGAAGTCCAATGCTTATTTTCGTACTGTAGGCAACGCGTATCAGTCTCACGTCCGTTCGACAAAGTCTGCGTTTTTAGCGCCCTAGAAAAAGATAGATATATCCTATGCTCCCTGGACCCGGTGCGTGTCCAACAAGTTCTCTCGATACGGAATTCATATTTTCGTACTACAGGCAACACGTATCAGCCTCCACAGTCGTTCGAGAAAGGGACTTTCTTCTTATCTACTGATCCAATCCAACTCGGCGACGGGAGGCGTGCAATTGCTACTGTGTTCCTCTAATTCTCCCAACTCAGAGCGATCTGCTACCTGTGGCCAGCAAAGTCGTCTTGTCAATGCGCGCAAAGCCAGCACATCTCTGGCGCCACACTGTAAGGCCTGCAGGCACAACCTGCACTGCAGTCTGGGGAGTTTAAGAGGCGTCGATCGCCAGAGTACTCGACATTGTACGCCTCATCTGGAACACATTAAAAAGCTCTGCTTTAAACGCCGCACATGGTATGCACATTTTACAAGGATTTTCCCCTTTTGTGATCTCCTTTTAGCGCCTGTGTTTCGTTTCTCTCGCAAGGTTCCCATTCCGAACTCGACCCGAGCTTTATCTGCATTCGGTGGACGCCGCTTCGAATCCACTATCTTCAACATCAGCAGTCTTCTATGATGATTATCCAGGACGATGCTTCTTTCATGGTAGCTTTCGGTGATGACATGTCCTCCAGTGGGAGCGGCGAGCTGGTATAATGATCAGTCGGTCAGAAGGAAATGAGATCATATTGCAAGTGGAAGATGTTAGGATGCAGTGGAAGAATTAGTGAGTTACGGCAGCGAAATAAACGTAGACTTAGAAGGAAGACCCTTAGTCGATATAATCGCTCCAGATAGAGGAAGGATATCGTAGGATAGTAGACGCCGAAACATTAATGTCCCCCCACCGGCACCTGCATCAAGCCTAATGCCGTGCTTCACGGCATTATGCTGCAGATCAGAGAAAAAGATAGGCCCAGCTGCTGTCAAATCCGGACCACAACTGTAACCGTATCATCGCTCCGCTACTACCCTTTTCTACCACTCCCCAGTCGGCAAATCAAAAAATCGAATGCAAGCACAAGTCCAGACAGACTACACTGAATCGGCATTGCATACATGGTACGGTACTTGCAGGAGTAAGTCAGTCGTGCATCAGATCCTATCACATAGAAGCACCAGACCGGGTTACACGAAGCTGTTCATTTTGTACAATGGCAGGCATGTTTCTAACGGTGAATCATCCCCTACAATGAAGCATTGATGTAAAATGTAGGAAGTCGGCCCGGTTTACTGGTCTAGAATCTCTTCCTTTGTCTTACCTCGGTAAAGCACTGCATGTCTTCCCCAATATGCATGTCTTCCCCAATACATGTATCGTTTGCCGAACTTGACGGGTTCTCACAGCTTACTTCATCTAATAAAGGCAGGATGCTTCCTATGTCGTCACTATACTTACTTCTGGTCGTCTTACTCTTGAGGTATGTGGAATGCCAACTTTGGAACTCGAATCGCAGTACTGAGACACCAAGCTTCCTCCACACGCAATGTCTTCGGCTCCTCCAACAACCCAGGACATTCTTGGCGCCCTCTACGTTGGCGCTATCATAGCCGCCGTGTAAGCGACCTTCCTTACTTGCGAAAATGTCTTTTAATTGGTTTGATAGTTTATTCGGTATAACAAATCTACAAGTGGTCATATATTACAAGGATTACCCAAATGACTGGTGGCTCTATCGATATTCTGTACGTTCAAGTTCTTTCAGCATTGGAATTAAGCTGAGGCTAATGGTACAGGTGGTACTGCTTTGGTCCGCTCATTCATGACTATCCGAATGGATGGTGGAGATTTATTACTGCCAAAAGGGTCCTAGATCTTCTTCATGTCGCTTTAAGCAGCCATGCGCTGTACTTCTATCTGATTAATATATATGGCGATTTCGCCGCTGTGATGGAAAATAATACGTGGTACGTTATCTTGTAGTGGAAGTACGACTATCCTTCTCACTCATCACAAAACTGGCAGGAGCATGAAGGTACGGATTTACTTTGGGTTTCGAACATAAAGCTTCAACGCTAGCTTTCGTGTTCAGCTGCAATTGGCCGTAAATGTGGGTTGGCATGATACATTGAAAATTGTTCAAATCTCAATGGTTTTCCTCGCAGGTGGGAATCGTCGTCTACGTCCAAGGGTACGAGCCATTTCATTGTTATGCAGTGGTAGAACTCTTACTTTTCTGACCCCTAGGTTATATGCCATTCGATTGTGGAAACGTGTGTATTTCGCGTGATGAATACTGGTAGTAGAAAACAAGGCTTAACTTATTATTAGTTGGGCGGCTTTTCCATAAATTTCTTCCATGGTTCGTGGTAAGTATGTTGCCGAAATAACTCAATCACCTGCGCATCCTTACCCTTGGACAGTTTCTCACTGTGGCAGCGTCGCTTGGTAATACAATCTCATTTCTCGTTTCGACTATTTTTCCTGATTGTACTACGCGCCTCCCAGGTGCTGGAATATGTAAGGCATCGCACTCTCACTCAGTCTCTTGCTCCGTTCACTGACATGAATGCTGCAGTCATGACCTACGACATGTAAACAACCCTTTACTACTGCATATACCACCGGAAGCTGAAGTTCGACAGTTTTATCACTCCGGGCTTTGCCTTCATTTCGAACATCAGGGTTCGTCTTTACCACACAACTCGTATAATGCTCAATATTCACACCAGAGATCGATATACACCATCTTCTCCACGATCGCTGCGACGGATTTCATCATAGCCCTGATGATGTGTTATTACCTACACAAGAGCAGGGAGGGTACGAAGTTCACTTCGTATGTTGTTTTCTTTGCGGGATGTGTGGTTCTGGTTGATATACAGGGTATTAGAACGGCAGGTGTGCTTCTCCGTCTTATGCGGCTCGTTCTTGTTTCGGGGTTGGCTACGAGGTCAGGGTACGTCTATTCTGTGTTGTTCGATGTTGATGAGATTGGTAGTGCATGCTCGCTGTCTGCTCTTATCGCGGTTTGTTGTTTCCCCCATGGCGTGATCTCTGAATCACGGGTGTTTATAGTACATCGCTTGGCCGAAAACTCTGATTTTCCTTGGGATAGACTTCGCCTTGCCTAAACGTCGGTAGGATCCATTTGGTCGCCGTGAAAATCGCTGACAAATACATATCTCATAGTCTATGTCAACTCGCTGCTTGCTATGTAAGTCATATTTTTCAGATGTGTACTGGAGCTTACCTTTGCTATTAGGTTTAATCACCGCCGTAAACATGTGTCGAACAAGGCGGTGGGAGTCAGACAACCGATTTCTACCGATCTCAGGATCGCGCCGCATAGTTCTGATGGTAATCCCGAAGAAATGGTATGTGCGAGTGCTAGTTATCGTCTCGATGACTTATTGTGTTTTCTCTTCAGAATATGGGGATTGCGCTCTCGGAGATCCGGGATTCGCCTTTGTTTGATGACCATTTTAAAGGGACTCTCGATTGCGAAGTTCAAGTGTGATTTTGTTTGTAAAATTATTGAATTAGAGATGAGGCCTGAGGTTCCAAGCTCTGGCGACTCTGCAGCCTCACATTTGTGGATATGATCCTTTCACGTTGGGGATGGGTTTTCCTGCGTAACGTTTCGAGTCTCTTCCACTTCTTGACTCGTAATTCATAGAGTCCATTTCAAACTGCCGTGATGCTTGGTCTTGATATATCCTGCTCGTTACACTGACTCAAACACCTCTGTTCTGAGCCAGTGTAATTACGGTCCAGGCCCGTGGGTCCTCGGGCCGTTGGTTGAAGCATAATCATTATAAATAGACCATCTATGTAAATGACCCAAACCTCGGGTCGCAAGAAGAAGACGGTTCGAGCAAGACGGGAGGGTGTGGGGGAATACGGACGATTTCATAGACCAGAACTGTGAAACGGAATCCATTTCGGGAATCTCGTCGGCTTTTTTGGCAATTGGTGAAGGATAGCTGAGTCGAGAGTTAAATGTGCGATTATCATCCTTCAAGTGACAACAGAGGGATTGACACTAGGCAGTTATGGTGATTATCCAGAGGGCACATAGCTTGGTTCAAGGAGCGAGGGAAGTGAAGTGTATTAGGATACGTAATATCAGTGATCTTGGGGTCGAGTAACTCTAATTATCCCAAGGACCTTGGTGAAAGGCTGCGGTCCTCTATCGCCACCTATTTTGGACGTTCCCGTCTTCACGAGAGATACAACAGTGATGTCGACATAGATTATAAGAAAAGGGCTACAAATTGGATGGTACGCGTACACGATTGACTTAGCACAGAAATGAGAGCTGATGTCTGGCCTTGGGAATTGTTTTCACATCCTTGGTGGTGGTTCATCGTTCAGGCAATAGTACGCCATTGCTGGGCGCAGGTGGCTGATGTTGTCTTCGTCAGTCTAAGCGAAATGGTGAAAAGGTAAAAAGGGATTATTTTCGGTGTTCATGTTTACATGAAAGATAGCAACAGCATGAGAAACAGGATGACCTTGAACCTTTACCTATAGGAGGCGCGTTGATTTCATGGACTTCCAGCATACCTTACCACGAGCACGACCTGGTCCCATAGTCCTGGGCGCGGTCCTACTTCTGTTTTTATGAGGCTTTAGCCATTAGATGATAGCGAACAGGAGAACGGGTACCTTATCCATTGACTCCACACACATATTCCAAATTTCAACGGCTTCCCGATGCCCGTAGTGACGTTATTCCTAATCGCGGTCAAGTTATAGATATCAGTGATGTGCAGTGTGTATCCTTGCATTGGATAGAGTAAAGTTAACAAGGACGCCATGTTTGAGGTTTACAAAGGTGCGCATTTCTTCCTGTCAGATGAATTGGCGTGGAGTCGAATTACGATAATCATGCTGGTGAACAAGAAAAATATTGGCCCCTGTAAATATTTTCACTATGAAGACTCCTCTGTTCAGTGAGATCAGCTTCGCCTATGCTGAAGAAAGATTCAGCGGAGCATACAATCCCGCTACGAAATGAACCGTTCACTCATTGCTACCGGGTTTCCTGAAAATGTTGTTCCTGAAGGCATTTGGCTCGCGACGCGGGAGTTCAATGAAATTCTACTGCTTTCAATCAGGGATCCTCTTCCGCACAGATGCTGGACGGTAGACCGGTGAAAATGAGAGATGAAGTTTGGACATCAAAAGCTGCGGCGACTTGGGCCGGGTCAATGTCCACTGTTCCACGGGTCTCTGTTGACCTCTTGTGGCACTTGACGCTCCTTTACCCAAGAGGAGTATTACTATCATAACAATCATTGCTTACTGGAAATGCAATCATTCTCATCTTGAGTATATTTCTTCTCAGTTGACCTTGATCTTATGTTCCATTTCCGACAGTTCACTGGTCGTTTCATGTTCCTCATCTACGAATAGGGGCCACGTCTCACGTACATATGGAAAGGACATTAAAGCTGATGCAGGTAACGTGGGGGCTCATTTGGTGTCTTCTGTCGCCCTCAACAACCGATTCACACCACAGTTTCCATCTAGTGTTTGGGGAATGGCGCACCGGAAATGCTTGTTTCCTCATGAAAACAGCGTAAACCACTTGTCATTTCAACCTTTGATATTACTTCTTTTGCTATTCCACCAACCGGGTCTTTTCAAAGCTGACAAACGCTCTTGCAGTGACAGCAAATTCTTCACGAAACTCAATGAACGGATATTCTGTGAAGAATGATGCGAGATTTACACAAGAATATCTCGTAGTTTCGCCCCGACCAACACCGTAACATTTTAGTATTAACCTTAACCACATTTTCGACATGATGGTGGCATATCAAATCCTCAATCCGGGGTGCTCACGAAGTCGCGGGAGCGAGCCCGTTTAGTTTTGACATCATTACGGTCTCAGGGGTGGATGCAACAATGTGTGTGCGTTCTTTAAAACTCAACTCTCCAAACTTTAGAGCACAGAAATCTGAAAATTCACTTCGAAACGTTTTCAGAGAGGAATTTGTGGAGCATTTAAGCTCATGTACGCGTACTTTAATATACGTAGGATGTAGGCTCTCATGGGTTCCGATTTCCTGCTTATGACGTCGCTGGTCTGAGGCGCATAAACGCTTTCGGTTGTTATTCGTGCCTTCCCAATATTAGTAGCAATATGACTAAAGCCTGGTAGAATGGGCAGACGGCCAACCGTCGGGAAGAGCCGAAGTGAAGATGAAAAAAAAAACATCTTTGTTAAAGATAGGTAGTATCAGTACATATCGGATTATCCCGTCGCAATGGAAAATGCCGTTAACCGGGCCTAGGTTATTGTGGCGCAGTTGCTCGTAAGAGACATGCCTGAAAAAAAAAGATCGATTCTCCGATGGAGCTACAGCCAATGACGCAATTTGAATTGGTGGTGTCTTCTGACGTTGCTCTGATGTGCAACTGATGGCTTCGGAAGGTTAATGGTCCGAAAGGCTATCGCGTATTACCCGTATCTTTGGTGGATTAAGCTCCGATGGCTTACATATCACAGGTACATCTTGCGTCCATTTAGATCTGATGTTTACCGTGGTTCAGATATATACAACATACAGATAAAACACTTGCCACCAAGGATGTTGTCCAAGACCGTTTAGGAAAAAATGGTGACCAAGATTCCGGTTTACGAGAACCAGCGTTTCCCCGATGAGGGCATGAAATACATGCCCGACACATCAGCCTGAAAGCGTGGATATCTTAACTGAACGTGGATGTTCACAGCGGAGCTAGCCGAGACGTGAAAATCCGACAATTTCGCTACTTGACTTTCAATATCAAACACCAATTTACCCTCGATAAGATTGGCTTAGTGTGCCTTGGGGCCACTTACACTTTCACACCACCTCGCGGCCAACTGTGGTCGTCAATCGACAGGCAAACTCTGACAAGCGCCTAGTTCCCACATCCTTCGATTTCTCGGCAATAGAACAGCTCGTCCTCGTATAAACGCACTGAGAAAGCAGTAGGATGCTTCGTTGACCAGATGAAGGCTAGACCGATCAATTTTAGGAATAAATGCCATCCATGGGATCATCAAGACTTGCTTGAATTGGCTATTCAGTACTAGGTACTTCGAGGATTTCACTTATTCACTTATCATATGCTACAGCTTCGCAGATCACAGATAACTACCGCATGTTACAAGTAACAGCCGCTATTCCTATCCTAGAAACACGTCTATAAAGCCACATTTCTGGCACATTTAATTGCCTATCGATGGCATGAAGACATGTACAAATTTTCTCCACTGGCGGTCGCTTCGGATTTCATGTGATCTCTTTTCAGAATTATCGCATATCTACAAGACTGCAGTTTCCTGCGTCATCGCAAGCTTTCCTCGGGCCCGTTTCTCCCTGTAGACTATATGCCACAAATGAGCATGAGTCATTCTAAAGCTAGCAATTGCTGGCAGGGTACACGGATTATATTGGAAGAAATTGAGATGGGAACCTTTGTGGGACTTGTCGTGGTGTCTACTTTGAAGCATATATTTGCAGTATAGCTGTACTGGAATCTCTAGACCACGGTTCCTGATGGGGATGAGGACGGAAACTCCCGTAAAGGCCATTCCAGCCAGAAATCCAGTCGGGGCGGAACTTGAAGAAAAGGAACGGAGAGAGGAGTTAGAACAAAAGGCCAAGATGGTACAATATTATCTGATAAATTTGCTAACCTTATGTGAAGGAGTGGATTGGTGACCATGAATGGATAGGACTCCGGTCCTTTAAGACAACGATGAGGTGAAGTAAAAAGAGACCGGTCTTCACGGACAGGAAGCGTGACGCGCTGGTGGACATTTGTGACAACGCTTCCTCGTTTACCACGACCATGTGGACAGTAAGCCCTCATACTAGAGGTTAGAGAGCCTTGGCATACCGCAAAGGAAAATTTCTGACTCCTTATATGAAGAATTTCAGTTCTTATCCAGATCGAACCCAAAATATCGGCTGGGACGTCGACACCGTTCTCTTGGGTGACGGCAAGAGTATCAGAACAGAAGGGTGGCGATTTAGTAGGTACGATTTTCCATCTTTTCTTCCAGATGACATGTTAACCCATGAACAGGTCAGATATTTCACGGAATGACAATTTTCATCCCACTAAACTCTGCTGCATCGCTGCATCGCGCCACAAGTCAGAAATGTTTTCTCCGAAGAGACGCTCCGCAGGTATTATTAACTCTCCTTCCTTCAAGCAGAACTTACAGGCCTCGTTCCCGATTACAAAATGCAGGGAAGGCTCGTGATCTTTGACAGGCCATTGTCATGGAGCTCCTAACAATTGGAAGTGCCCAGACGAAGGAAGCTTTTTCGACCTTGGTCACCAAATTTGGTTCAAGAAATCAATCTTCACCACGGTCATTCGGACTTGCTGGATCCTTCCAAGAGATGCTAGGTATTAGGTCTTGTGTCTCTGATATCATGGCGTATGATGTCTTTGCAGCGACGCGATATTTTCTTGCCCTTAATATTTATACTCTTTGCCAATGACAGCGTGGAAGTCAACGTCGACGATGTGCTCTATCTCTCGTAGGTCGTTTCTTCTCTTTTTTTTCATTCTTCTTTTTTGACTCCTACTGCAGACTACGGTATGTTTGCAGTATTAGATACCGCTAGTAGGCGAAGCTCAGATGACATAAGTTGAGCTTCTCGCACTTTGTTTCGGACTCCTTCTCATAGTCGTTTCGTTCAGATGCCCAGTACGATCCAGAACAGAAGATTTACTATAGCCGTGATAAAACTACCTTTTGCACTATGTATAGCTTCGCCATCTCATCCTTGCTGTGTCTGACTGGATAGACCTCTAACGATAGCACTCCGAACCAGCGCCGTATGGTCGACCTCAGTTTTGCCGGCTTTGATGTATTCGACGTCAGCGGCATGTTCTCAACTCGTGCATTTAATATTAACACTATTAGCCAGAAATTTCAATGGCTGTATGATTTATTTTGAGATGCAAGCAACTGAAGATGTGATCCTGTGCATACCCTGGCCCCGGCAATACTGATTTCGGGAACATCTCCATGGTCCCTGTGCCGGTACCAATATCAAGACCGTGAAACTGAAGGCAATCCGGAAAGCATCAAACAGCAAAAGATTTATTGATGTCAGTCACGAAATTATGTCCAAGAACAAACGTGAAGCTGTCGAAAACGATACACGTAGACTACGGCCTGCGCCGAGATTTGCTATCAAGATGGAATGCATTAGCTAACTCTAGGTCGATCTGGCAAACATTTAACAACTATTTTTACCTTCCTTCTCTATGCATAATATGCAGAAAGAACGATTTACAGGGACGCACTGGTCCGTCCAAGAGTAGTGAAGTTCCTGATGGTGGCTTTCGACCTGAGAATGTTCTACGTGTGTTTCCAGGATAGGAATAGCAGCTGTTACTGGCAACACATGTCCTTTACCTATGGGTGATGAAGCTGTCGCCTGGGAAATACGAGATGCATTACATTCCGAATAGTCACTTCCAATAGGTTTCCATGGTCCCACAGACGGTATGCATGTTGTGTCCCAGTCCTTTCTCGATGGTTTTACAAGGCCGACCCATTCTATTGACCAGAAATTGAACGGGAACAGGCAATTGAAGGCAATGGGAACTGGACGCCTGTCGGAGTTTAGTGTTGGATCTGCGACGGCAACGAGGGTAAGGTAATGTGAAAAGCGGAAGTGACTCCAAGGTACACAAGAGCCACAAGTCATCGAGTTCCTCAAATAATAAACGTGTTGATATTCATGGTCCAGCGGCGCAATGTTCAGATTTTTCCTCCCCTGCAGCATAACCATAGTCTCAAGTGACCTACTAGCTGAACTGTAGAGTTCCATATTCAGTCAAGATATCCACGTTTTGACGCCGATAGACCGGGCACAAGTTCGATGTATTTTATTCCAGTATCGGGGAAGCGCCGGCGTTCATAAACCGGAATCTTTGCCTAGTCCATTTTCCCTAAGCCGTCTTAGACTGCACCGTTAGTAATGAGCATTTTCATGGACTTTGTTATGGATTGGATCCATGGGAAGCGTACGATGGAAAAGGAGATAAGTTGTTCCTGTGATATGTGTGATTTCGGAGCTCGTATCACAAAAAACACGGGTGATATGTCTGAGTTTTTGAAATCAATGTCTTCCGGAGCCATCAATTGAACATCGGAGCAATGTTAGAAGGCACCGACCCCTTAAAATTGGGTCACTGGCTGTGGCTCCATCAGCAAATCGATCTTTTTCAAGCATAGGACCCTCACCGGCAACAGCATCATGGTACCCCAGGCCCGGGCGAACAGTATTTTCTATAATGGGGTAATCCGATCGATGCTGATCGGATATCTTTACCACAGATATCTTTTTCGTCTTCACTTCGGTTCTTCCCGCTAGTCGACCGTCTGACTGTTCTACCAATTATACATCTGGCTATGACACTGGCAAGGCGTGCGTAACAGTAAGACGCAGCTAGAATCGGATTTATCCACTCCAGCCACTGTCCCAGAATGGTTTCACAATTTATGGTCATCCAAAATGTATAAATACTGCACCTAGAGAATCCGCACTCTCTATCGAACATATCGTCCATCCGTATTTCCACCCAGACTCGTTCTCATTCTCTGACCATGTCGTCTAGTCCAACTGCAAATGCCGCCCTCGAAGCAAGGGTCTATGCAGCTAAGGGTTATGTTAAAGCAACCACCAAGGGTGGGAAAAGTGGCAGTGCATACGGCGTGGGTGAGCTGGTCGACAAGCGAGTTGGCCTCACTCTGGACGGCGGACCTCTTACCTTGATTAGAGTCTACTTATTTACGTGCATCAAGGCCCGTAAGTTGACAGTAGCTCCTTGATATTGGTCTGGTACTGACATATGCCTGCAGATGAAACCAACGTTGTTAATCTTCTTAATGGATGCGAGGAAAGTGTTTAATTCGCTCGGTGTATCACACACTTGTTCTGACAATTCCGGCAGCCTGATATCCTGAATCCTGAGAACTCTAGTGAGTTTTGGCACTATGAGGGCTGCGTGGACAAGTGGGCGAGAGATCTTCCCCTTCGTTTGTAGTCTGAGTATAATTCCCACCATGGATAAGGGAACACAGAATGCCCAATTATGCACCATTTCTCTCCTTTCTCACTATCCCGACATCTGTAGCTTGTCAGTAATATTTAGTTACATGACATGTACTAGAAGGTCGTGTCTCTACACACATTTCCTTCAGTCCTCATTCGACGTGAAAATAGGCCAACAGACACAACATCGAGGAAGGGCATCCATGGGGTTCCGATTCGGGTTCCTCACGCGCAAAGCTGCGGACCGCACGTGCCGCAGACGGCAGAGCTTTCGCTCTCTTCATCTTCGACTTTCACGTCGCAGGCTCAGACAAGTCAGAAAACGCAACAGAATTCTGTAAGTAATTCTCTCACATTTTGCAGTGTCCCTCTCAAGTCTTATCATTAGTCGGGCTAATTGCACCATTTTACGATTGCTGTCCCAGTATGCCATTCACCGAAAGCGTACGAAAATCCATCGTAAGTATTGCGTCGCACCATGGTTAACAGTTTTCGTCTAGGTGCTATGTGTGAATTTCCAATTCTGAGCAATCCATCCATACGTTCCATCCCTCTACGCTACCGAGCTTCTACAGTCTGGTTTATCCTCCATCGACGTTGATCAAGCGACGGTCGCGGAGGATATAGCCAATCTCGAGACAGAACTGCGTTTAATCGAGCCTCTCTTCATTCAGATTGGAGATCGGAGGGTTAAACTGCTCCAATATCCCAGTAGCTGCAAAGCTCTACAATTACCGATACAACGCTTACCTCAGGAGACTCTCCTTGAGATATTCGAAAGAACATGCCCGACTGATATAAGTAGTTCCACCTCGCCTTGGATTCTTGGTCATGTCTGTTCCTCGTGGCAGTCCATTTCACGCTCTTCGTCTTCTTTATGGACGAGCATTGGAATAGATGGATCTGAAATCCCGAACGTTAACTTTCTATCCCTTTACCTCTCCCTTTCCCATGATCTTCCTCTTAATATACGCTGTACGCATCACAAGTTCGGCGATGGATGCTCTCGCTTCTGTTGCTGAACATTCATCACGCTGGTCAGAATTATACCTTAAGATAAAATCTGAGGATTTCCCCAGATTTTTGTCTCTGATTTCCATTCCCCCAGTATGATTGATGAAACTCATAATCGATATTCATTTCTATGGTCGCGACGACAGGACTATCGACAGTAATCCCTTTGCTTCATGCAATATAACAGATGCTGTCTTCCAAGATCTCACCTACTCGCATCTCTCTATATATCCCAAGGAGCTCAAGAGGCTTGTAGTATGCACCTATAGCTCCTCTGAGCTTCTACCCATCTTCCAGCAGGTACGAAAGCTCACTACTTTATCGATACAGCCAGTTAGGGGTTCACCTCAGCTTGGTCCCATCAATTCTTCCTTGGAAGGGTATCCTTCTATCATGCACATGTCTCTCAGAGTACTCTGTTTTTGCATTTTCTTGGAGCTTATAGGTGGTCATACAAATATTTATGAGATCTTTGACTATATTTGCCTTCCCACTTTGGATACATTTTCCATTGACCCCGTATATGAATACAGCGCTCTTCCAACAGCTTTAACACTTGTTGAGGAGGCTCGCCTCGTTGGCCTTTTCCGGCGTTCGAATTGCAATCTGACAAAATTATACCTTTACATTCCTTATACTGTCGACACCTTCCTCGTCCCGATCTTCGTTCAATCTCGTGGGTTACAATATCTTGACATCACAATCGACATCCAGGTGGCGAGCGATATTTTTAGATCGCTCTCTCCTGAGGCTGGGAATGTCCCTAACTTGAAGGATTTGCACATCGAGGAGGTGCCCTTCCGCAAAGCACCAATTGGTCTTTTGCAAGAATCCGCGGCATTTCATGCGATGATTCTTCCGAGGTGGAGAAAATTTATGGGATTGGAGAGATTAAGGTTATCTCTGTGTTCGTATTTCGTCAGGGAAAACTCGTCAGGGAAAACTTTGTCATTCCCCCTGAGTGTATCCCCCGATTTCGTGATTTATTCAGGCTAAAGGAGAAGGGGCTCGATGTTGAATTTCTATTTAACAGCGCAGACTGTCTTTGAGATGGGGAGGCGCAGCATGCACTCTTCGGTTTGTCCTAGACTATGTTTCTCTCATTCCATTTTTTACCTTCCTTTGCCTGTGGTGTACGCCTCGTAGTTACATGGTCCCGCAATTTTCCTTAGATACAGAATTTTTTTAAAAAGTTGTATTTATTTGTAGTTTGCCGTCGAGGAACAGGATCAGAGTATGTTAATACCATCTCCAGAAAAAAACTGTATTGACACCGCTCACATAGGTGTACACTGCGGAGCTCAAGTTGTTTTGTGTATCTCGTTGTTAGCTCTTTGAAAATTGTCTCCCTCTGGGGAAGGAGACATGAGACGTTGGCAATTTTGAAAGACAGTACCAAATGTCGACAGTGGTCACATTTATTCGTTCATTCACGTCAGTCTACCGTTTCATATGTGGTCCCTGACCTGACGGTTCTATGCACAGGTTGATTATCTGATGTCCTCCGATGAGGGCAAGCAGATGTAATTGCAGAGTTATGTCAAGCGTTTGGCACTTAGAGTTGCTGCCATGGTGACATGATGTATTAGTGACTGGTTGCGACCCTGAGCAGAGATTCACAGTGGTGTCTTCTAAATTTTGGAAGAAGTTGAAGCCCCTGCTTGTTTTAATCCTCATAGTCCATTGAAGAGGTCCTGCATGCATGCAAGGTGAAAATGGATACAGCAGAGTGCTATCCACTAATCATACCCACACCAACATGCACACTATACTCTTAGTTCATGGGGGGATTATAATGTGATAAAAGTAGTGACAGCAAATATAATTATCTTCTTCAATGAATCCACTGCATGTGAACAGCAATAGCATGTGTACAACAGTCCCAGGTCTCTCTAAGTCTCAGAGCTTTTCATTTTATCAAAACAAGAGGTGGCAACAGGTGTTGCCAGGTCTAAAGGCAAAGGTACTGCAGCTCAATACAATATGTTGAAACAATCCTACAGCCCTCAAAAAGGTCCCAAGCACAGCTCAGATCAAATCAAAATCTCTAACACACACAATACACAACTCAAAGCTTCATGCTCTAAGCAGAAACCAATCACAGACATGTCCACAAGTGCCAAAAAGCTCAGATGTCTGTACACAAGTTTCAAAACCAATCATAGACCCACAGGATTCAAACCTATGTGATCCAGAGACACAAAACACAGTAAACACCATCTGACAGGCCAAAGGGTTTGAACCTCTGCCACCTGTAGTGCTGGACATCACAAATGCCTTAAAAACTCAAGATAGTGCCCTTCAGACACCACTCTCTTATTCTCAGGCTTGAACACAATCCAAAACTTCTTATCAAATCTCTCTCAATGATATTAATAATAGGTCTATTCCCTCACCCAAAGTTACAAACACAAACCCAGAGCTGGAGTGCAAGGTCTTTGTGCTCAATACACTGCAACTGTGGAGAGTCAGAAACTTGTCTACTACTCTTACAATGCAGTACTTAAATAGTCTACTACTGTACTTACTAAGACAAACTAAATATAGTGGTTTCAAAGTGCAGAACTCCATTCCTGTTACAATTTTTCCTATTTTCTTTTCTTTTACCTAACTTATTTAGGTTGACTCCTATTTCTGCTTAGTCAGAGTGCCTAACCAGCACTTAGAACTGTGGGAAGGCTTAGTCAGCAGCACCATCCAGGTTCTACTGCACTGCTGTGAGGCTCACAGCAGCACAATGGCAGAATGCCTTTTTTGTCATTGCACAGCAGTAACAGCAGTAACAGCTCAACAGCAGACAATACTCTTTTGTAGGTAGCTTGACAACACTGGACAAAATGCTACACAGCACCAGAAAGAACAATTAGGTAGTTATATCTTTAGAATGGATGACAATTAGTATATAAGTAGTATAGCTCTTGCTATAGTAACTCCAGCTTTGAGCTAAAGTTTATTCTTTCACCATCTTATCTTGAGTGACTTGCAATGCCTTGACAATACAGTGCTATCAAACACATCAAGTGGACTCTGACATTCTAACCTGAAGTGTGAGGTTGTGTCAGTTTATCATGTGTTATTGGTCACATGGAATTGTTAGGCCCAAGCTGCATGTGATCAACTAGCACATGATAAACTAATGTGGCTTCACATTCAAGCCTTCTGTTAGAGTTCACTTATTGTACTGTTGTTGACTCCCTGTGCTTCAAGGCTTTGTGTGACTAGCTTGAGAGTAGAATGAGGTGGAATAAACTTTAGCTTGAAGCTGGGGATTTACCAGTGAGAGCGAGCTCCTTAAATACCATACAAAGTCTGCTAATAATACTACATACTTATTGTGCATATCTCTGTCTTGGTGCTCATTGTCCTTGAGCATTGTTACTATACATAAAAGGATGATTGTGCATCATCGGGCAATGCTGTTGCATTGAAAGACAATGACAGACTTGGCTTGTTATGATGACTAAGTCTTATCCCACAGTCTTTAAGTGCTGTCTTTAGCATGGGGTTTAGTTCAAAGAGAAAGGGAAAATCATGACATTACCCCCTCCTTAAGACCATCATCCTGATAGCTTAATTTAGGGATAATTCATAGTCATGTATGGCACCATTGGTGTTCATTAATTTCTCATTTACCCATTGATTAGATTCAGGCCCATATCCCTTCCAGCTGACCAAGTAGTCGACTGTAGTTGTCATGCCACCTTCTTTTGCCCTGATTTTTCATAGTTTGTGATGTAGGATCTGATCAACTTCATAATATTCTTCATTGTCAATGAGGTCAGGTGGTGGAGGTGGAGGTTGTTCTTGGTTGGAGAATGCTGGTGCGACATAGGGAGTCAGCAGTATTTCATTGAAGATGTTGTGAATTTTCCAGGATGTGGGTAACTGGAGTTTGTAGGCACTGGCTCCCACTTTTGCAGTTATGGGGAAGGGCCCAGTGTGTTTATCCACCAATTTGCATTTCGGTCATAGTAAATAGAGATTGGTGGTGTCCAACCAGACTTTGTCATTGATGGAGTATTTATGGGCCAGCTGATGATGCTTGTTGTAATGGGTCATCATTGTTGCAGCCACCTTTTCAAGGGCTGTTTTGGTCTTGGTATGGATTTTTGCCATTGTGGTAGCAAAGTCTGTGGATGCAGGGGTAGTGGTTCAGTGTCATTCAGTCTGGCTGACATTTGGATGTCACCCATGATTGATAAAGAATAGTGTCTTCCCTGTAGCCAAGTGGATCTGGTTGTTGTGTTGGAAGGTGGTGAGGGCTAGCCATTCCACCCAATCATCTTATTGATAATTAATAAATAGACACAAGTATTTTTTGATTTCTTGGTTTGCACACTCAGTTTGCCCATCAGTTTGGAGGTGGTACAGGTCATCCAAGAATTTAGAGACAAATTGAGATCCCTGATCTGAGATGACCACTTGTGGCATACCATATTTGGCATAGACTTCATCTTATAGGATTTTGGTCCATCCTTCCAAGGTCAGTTCTGTTGAACAGATGATCAGAATGATTGCTTTTGAGAATCGATCAATGATGATGATAATGGCATCATAGCCATTGCAGTCTGATAATCCAGTAATCATATCAACCAATATATAGGTCTATGATGATGAGGGGACCTCATTCAGGTGGAGCAGTGCAGCTCAGGCCTGCATCAAAGACTTGCCATATTGGCAGACTTCACATGCTTTGACATATATGGTAATGTTATTTCCCATTTTGGGCCACCAGTATTCTTGTAATACCAGCTCCTTAGTTTTGGCAATGCCAGGGTGCCTGGCAGTAGCATAGTCATGGCAGGTGGCGATGATCTTGCTGCATAGTCCTTGATCTTGAGGGATGTAGATTTGCCTATCATAGCAGATCAGCCCTCCTTCCTTCATCATCCCCTGCTCATGATTGAGGGATGGTGCTACTCATTGATCCCATTTATGATTGTCATGAGTTGCACTCTTGATGCACTCATGAATTTCCTCCTCTGTTGGCATTATCATTGCTCAGAAGTGTTTAGGCTGAAGTAATGTTACTCTCTTGTTATCAGCTCCCCCCTGATTGTGGTCTGCCCTTCGGCTAAGCAGGTCAGCCTTTTTGTTGGCTGTCTCTGCCTTGTGATGAAGGGTATACTGATATTGGCTGAGCTCTGTGACCCCTCTCACTCACTGACAGTTTAACTTTTGCAGCTGTCAGAAGTATCATAAGTTTTGATGATCAGTCCAGATTTCAAATGCTTCTGTGGCTCTGATCAAATAGTGCCACCATTCCTCAAGAGCAAGCATAATGGCAAGTAGTTCCTTGTTGTAGATTTCATAGTTGCGCTCAGTGATGGTTAATGCTTTTAAAAGGAAGGTGACTGGATGCCACTTCCCATCCTATTCTTGTAAAAGTATGGCACCAATGGAGCCTTTGCTGGAGTTGGCCTCAACTCAGAATTTCCCTTTCTGTATGAGAATAGCAAGTATGACATCCTCAGCTAGCTGTCATTTCAGGTCATCAAAAGCAGTTTGTCAGGAGGGACCCCATACCCAGAGGGCATTGCCAGTCAGTTGTGTCATGGATCAGATGACCTTGCTGTAGTCTCAGATAAATTGCCAGTAGAAGTTGGTAAATCCAAGAAACAATTGCAGCTCCTTCTTCTTGACTGGTTCTGGCCATTCAGTTACCCCTGCTACCTTGATGGAGTCCATCTGAATACTTCCTTCACTGATGATGACTCCAAGGTACTTGGTTTTGAGTACCTCAAATTCACACTTCTTGGCTTTGAGGAATAATTTGTGTCTTCTCATGAGGGCCAGTATCTGTTGCACTAGTCACCTGTGCTCCTCCTTAGTCCTTGACATAATTAGGATATTATCAAGGTAAATGGTAATCTTTCCAGTGGCAATGAGATCCTTGAATATATCATTCATCATCCACTGGAATGTGGCTAGGGAGTTGGTCAACCCAAAGAACATGACTGTGGGTTCGAATAGCTCTCAATTTGTTCTGAATGCTGCCTTCCACTCATCTCCCTCCTTAATGTGGACATTATTGTACCCCTATCAGACATTGAGTTTGGTGTAATATTTAGCACCTCAAAGCTTGTCTATCAACTCCAAGATCAATGGAAGGGGATAATGATTCTTGATCATCATTTCATTAAGTTTTCAATAGTCCTGGACTGGCCAGAGTTTGCTATCCTTCTTTTTGACAAAAAAGAATGGTGATGCCATAGGGGATTTTGAGGGTCTGATGTGTCCACTGGACAAGTTCTCATCCAAGAACTTGTCAAGTTCCTGCTGCTCATTGTTCTCAAGGGGGTAGGTTTTACAATCCAGATTGGCACTTGCATTTGGGATTAATTCAATCACATGATTCTATGGTTTTGGCTCTGGTAATTTATCAAAGTTTTCCTTCTCAAATAGGTCCTTGAAGTTGTGTGCTCATTCAGGTACCATTTCTTCGAAGGTCCTCTCTTTTTTTTGCTCATTGGCTCTGGTGGTTAGATTATTGGCATGGTGTACAGCACGAATGTGCAGTTTGCACTGAATATCGACAGCAAGGATGGTTTCCCCTTTCTCCATTTCCTCATCCCACTGATCCTCTGGATCCTCATCAGGGAGTTCAAATGAGATTTTTCGACACTGGCACCTTGTGAATGTGATCTGCTCAGTTTTCCAGTTGATCAATGGGTTGTGGCATATCAGCCAATCATGGCCAAGGAAGATTTCTTTGGTTCTGAGGTCTGTGACAGCTAAGTTGATCCATTCAGAATGATCACTGATCTTGAGTCTCAGTTCCACAAACTCAGTGATTGAGCCAGCCTGATTTTTGGTTCTATCCACATTATACACCAGGATTGGGACTGCCATAGCCTGGGTTGTGAGCTGGTGCTTGTTGATGAAAGCATGATTGATTGAACTCCTGGTACAACCACTATCAATTAGAGTGGTTACTGCATGGACAGATCGAGGTGTAAGGGTCTTGATTTGTGCTTTGGTGATTAAATCCCATTCAGGCATTTTGGATTGTCAAATGAATTTTCATGGCCCTCAGAGCTCATCAAGCCATTCCAGGGCTTGGCACCATTCCACCCCCTTTATTCCTTCTACCATCTTGTCAATGACTTCTTTGGCTCAAGTTCAGTGAACCCAATTTTTAAGCATGGCTATTGCTGCTGCTTTGCTTTTGGCATCCTTGATGGCTCTCCAAGTCCACTTGGTGTTGAATAGCTTGAGCCAAGTTTTGGGGCCCTCTGCCCCTGTTCAGCCCAGATGCATTTGAGTTTTCTGATCCTTTTGCAGTTCTGGGGTGTGTGAAGCAATAGTGGGTATATTCAAATGCACTTGATACATAGTCATAACTACAGGGGAACTATCAGTCTGACCAGCAGCTGTTGGGGGCACACCATGTTTTTGGGCTGACTCAGTGGAACTGTTCACTGGCTGGCCTCCTCTTTTACTTCTTTGACCTTGGTCTCCTTTCCAAGGTCCTCATCTTCTTTCTGCAATTCAGCAATCTGGGCTCAGATGTCTTCATGCATCTGCTTCTTCAGGCAGTCTTTTGCCATGTGGCCCTTTTGCCCACAATTGAAGCATTTGCCCTCCTTCTTCATTTGGTCAATGTCCATTGGCTTCCCAGCCCCAGTGTATGTCATTCCTGTGCCTGTCTTCTGACTTTCATAGGCTGAGGCCATTGAGGATCCTGACAATTTCCCAGCAGTTTGCTCTGACTTGTTCGAGGTTGGTGGAGGCAACTTTTTCATGTAGTCTTGCAGCATCATGGATTCTGCTTTCTGCCTTTGTCTCTCTTTGTACATCTCAATGATTTGCTTCTTCCACTTGTCATAGCCATTCAGCATAAGGGCTCAGATGCCAATGGCCAAGAACATCATGATGTAAGAAGAGAAGACTCCTTGCTTGAGGGCCTTGACCATTCAGCCATCATTGGCTATGTCATCCTGGATTCCAGTGAGTTTGGCCAAGCATTCTAACTTGTCAAAGTAGTCTATGGCTGCCTTGTCAGCCATCTTGTATTCCTTAATCTTTTGTTTGTGTACTTCTTGTATGGCAGGATCAATGAATTTGTCATGAAGCATCTGTTTGAAGACAGGCCATGAGGGGTATCAGTAGTGTTCCCAAGTTGACAATCAGAAATTCAGGGAAATGAGGATTCACCATGTCTTTGCCTTTTCTTCAAGATAAGAGGCAGTGAATATGATCTTATTCATGTCAGTCCCTAGGTATCCAATATAGGCCTCAAAGTATTGCTTGCAATCTACAAGAAACCAGTCAATGTCATTGGATGCTCCTTTAAAGGGGTGAGGTTTTCATAGAAGATCAGAGTGGCATTGAAGGATGGCAGCATCATAGGGTAATGCTCTCATTGGGTTGGGCCAGTTGGAGAACAGGGGTCATTGCCATTCTTGTGGCAGTCTGGGGAAAGAGTGGAGTGAGTTGTCATTGGCAACTGGGCTTTCCCATGGTAGTTCTTCCCTCTGGATGATAACTCTATCCTGAATGGTAAACCCTAGTCATACTGCTTCAGGGTCATCCCAAATGGGCTCTTTTCCTCCTCCACTCCCACTGGCTTGATCAGGGGGCAGTTGACCCCCCAAAAGCCTACTTTCTTTGCTGGTCCAAGAGTTTTGATAGCTGCTTAGCTTTTTCTTCAGCTGGGGTTGTGACTGTAGCAGCCAAGTCACCATTGATCAAGACAAGGGAGCAGAGTATGAAAAGGTGCTTTGGACCAATGGGGCCTGATACTCAGCTCACCTTGGTGTGATAGGGGGCATCTGCAGCATTGGTCATATTGAGGGTGCTGGTTGGTATGCTGGTGGTTGGCTAACTGGATCTTCTGGATGCTTTTGATTGTATTGTTGGAGTGGCATAGTCAGTTGCCACCCATCTCAGAATTTCTGTCTATTTGTCAGTTTCAGAGCATAAATATAATTGTCCTATCTGCAATGCCATCCAAGTGGTATTGTACCATAAAAAGGTTACCCCCCACAGGTAGTACTCCTGATACTCCTGGGTCTTAGCTTCCTGAATCAACCTTTCCAATTCTTCATTGTCCATCTCTTCCTGTCAGTCATATGGTGGTCCCCACAGTGGGTCACTACTTTCAGTTTCTTCCTCATTCCCAGCTTCATCATCTGCTCCTCCCCTGGGAGAGAAAGCACTGGACAGGTCATAGGAACTCTCCACATCCCCTTGTGGTTGTATTGTCATCCTGCTGTCCTGGCTGGGTGCTGGGACCAGCAGTTGGGCCCAAAAGGTCTGTGGCATGGAGGTAGAAGGCAATGGGCTGACTTTCAATATCGAAGTCATACTGATTCCCCCCAGTTGCTCTCACCACCTCCACTCACTTGCAATAGAGCTGAATGTTTCTTCTGTAGTCATTGTCGAGGAGCTGTCCAACAATTCTACTTCTGAGAAAACCTCAGAGGGTACAGGCAGGGATGTGGGCATTACCAGGGACTCATAGTCTGTAGTGCTCAAGAACAGACTCATCATCCTGGAAGGTAGTATCTGCACTAGAGGTTTATCAGGAAGGAGAGTATCTATGTCTTTCTTCTTCTTGAATATCCTCTTGAGTTGGGCAGCTAGGCTCTACTTCTGGTGAGGGGGTTGTTGGTGGCTGGTGGGACATTCATCAGGATTCGAGGATGTCATGAAGTGGAAGGTCTGGGATTATGTTTTGTAGAATATGTTGAATGTGCCAGAACTCATTATAGTGTCTGATTGCCTAAGCAGTGATTGAATGGCATCCTCAGCACAGCTGAATGATCATCAACAATCTTAACAAGGTTCCAATGATGGAAGAAAAGAGTTTAAGGAATTCTTGATTGAAGTTCAGATCTGATGGGTTGATAGAGGGCATTCAGTTTCTCAGCACAATTGGGCTTGAGAAAGAGAAGGTGGAAGCTTCAAGCTGATTGTTAGGCCCAAGCTGCATGTGATCAACTAGCATATGATAAACTAACATAGCTTCATGTTTGAGCCTTCCATTAGAGTTCACTTATTGTACTGTTGTTGACTCCCTGTGCTTCAAGGCTTTGTGTGACTAGCTTGAGAGTAGAATGAGGTGGAATAAACTTTAGCTCAAAGCTGGAGATTTATCAGCAAGAGTGAGCTCCTTAAATACTGTACAAGGTCTGCTAATAATACTACATATTTATTGTGTATATCTCTGTCTTGGTGCCCATTGTCCTTGAGCATCATTATCATATATAAAAGGATGATTGTGCATCATCAGGCAATACTGTTGTGTCAAAAGACAATGACAGACTTGGCTCATTGTGATGACTAAGCCTTATCTCACAGTCTTTAAGCGCTGTCTTTAGCACTCTGACTAAGCATAAATAGGGGTTTAGTTCAAAGAGAAAGGGAAAATTATGACAGGAATTTGGGCTTAACAATTGGCTCAGAGCTTTCTAGCTTCCCTTTCTTGGCATATATCAAAGTACAAGAAGCTGAATGCCTTCTATCAGCATTGTGAACCCCAATATCACCACTAACCTCTCTGAATTCATAGGAACCCTTGTAGCTGTGATAGTCAGAAACTATCAGAACCCTCAAGATGATATCAATAACCACTCCACCCATGATGTCCCTCTTGATGTTGGAACTTTCCTCTGGCTCAGACCTGGGCCCAAAGATGGGCCTGGTAACAAAGGTGAGAAAAGTCCTCAAGAAAAGGAGAGACCCCAATACTCCACCCACCACCTCTTGACCCCCAATCCCAAATCCCTGACCCATGACTCTGATGACCTCTATACCACTAATGAACTGGTGAAAGAAGAGGAGAACAGGCTCAATCAGCAGCAGGGGAACAACATACACAATCAGCAGTACCAACAGCAGGTTGGAGGAGGATGAACTGCAGAATGGGGTCCTCTCCCAGAAAGTTCCTACAAGACCCAGAAGCACCAAAAATAGCCACTGGATACCAAATGGAATGAGAATCCAGAAGATGACCCCTACACTGCTGATTAATGGGATGATTCTCATGATGATGATGAGAATAGTTGGTGCAAGTCACTGACCACTGATAACACAGGAAGCCATGACTTCCTGTCTAACAGTAACTCCTTACCTGATAGGTATGGAGTCCAAATGCCACCAAGGGCCTGAATCAGCAATCAGACCCTTTGCTGGTTCTTACATAGGCAGATCACTGCCCTTTTCCTCAACCTGGACTTCTATAATGAATTCTGCTGATATAGTAAATGGATGGAGAGAGAAAGAGAGTGGCAGTGAAATGCCAAAGAAGAGGAGGTCTGGGATTTACCATCCTGGAAACTCCCTATCTATGACTCTGGCCTCCAGGGTCAACACCATCCTCAAGGAGGATGAGGAGACCAAAGAGGAGGGAGGGGACACCCTCTTCACAAATGATCTCTAGTCTGGACTCTTAGATGAGGAGCAACTGGAGCAGGCAGAGGAAGAGCAAAGAAGGGAGGATCTTTGCACAGAAGACCAGCTGGAACTCCTGCCAGTCTTTGAGGAACAACCAGTACTAAGGATGCTCCTGGTACTGCCAAAGGATGCTGAAAGCCCAGCATCCTCAATATGGACAACATTATTCTGGAACATGTCCCTCCCTCTCAACCAATTACAGCATAGCATCCCAGCTTTCCAAAAGCCAACCCCTATCAAGCAGCCATTACTCAAACCTATGGAGGCTGCAAATTCAGTAACTGTTTGCTGGACAACCGCCACCAGATGAAGCTGAAGGCAGTGGAGTGACTCTAAGGGCTCCTGAGGCAGACAATCCCAAGGCCACTGCCTAAGGCAGGACCATCAAGGATGGACAGAGCATATAAAAAGAAGTACCCCTGCCAGAAAGTCCTGTCACCAATGATGGCTCTCTGCATTCATTCCCAGAACCTCCAGCAGGATAGATGGTCCTGCTCTCTGGTGGGACCCTGAATCTGATAGCCATCCTCATGGCCAATGCTCAAATACTCAACATGAAACCAAATCTTGTATGTGAGCCCCACTCCTTCAGGGGAGCATCTGACAATATTGACTGCTTTCTAACTGACTGCAATCAATATTTCCAAGTATTTGCCTTGTACTTCCTCCTTGACATGTACAAGGTGACATTCACCTTGACTCACATGGAAGACAAGATGAAAACATGGTGGATCCTTCTATCCCCCATGTTCTGGTCTACTACATGACAACATCACCAGTATCTCTTGTGGCTGGTCTTTAAACAGATGATTGTTGACAAGTTTATAGACTCTGCCATCTAAGAAGTCCACAAACAGAGGATGAAGGACTTCAAGATGGCCAATAAACTGGACATGGACTACTTCAATAAATTGGAACAGCTCAGCAAACTTGCTGGAGTCTGAGACAATGTCACCAATACCAGGTGGATGGTTGAATATATGAAGATGGAAGCTCTGCCCTCCTATCTGAAGATTATCTCAGACATCAGACATGGTATCTCAAAGGGATACAATGAGTGGAAGAAACACATTATCACTATGTACAGGGAGAAACAGTGATAGAAGGTGGAATCATCCATCCTATCATGGGGAGGACAGAAGAACCAGGGACAGGGGATGAAGCCCTCCACCTCCAATGTGACCACATCTGTCAAGCCCAGTGGCTCAGCCACAACTTCCTCATATGACAAGAAGAAAACTGGTACAGACACAACATATACTGGAATGGGTAAGCCAATAGACATAGATCATCTCAAAAAGGAGGAGAAGTGCTTCAATTGCAGCCAGAAGGGCCACATGGCACAAACCTGTCCTCAGAATCAGAACAAGTGCATCCAAGAAGACATACAGGTGCAGATTGCCAAATTGATGAAGGAAGAAGAAGACCTCAGACTGGAGACAAAGGTTGAGGCAGTAAAAGACAGGGCTAAGCATTGAGTGATTCCACTGACTCAGCCAAAGTACCAAAAAGTGGTGTGTCACAATCAGATGCTGGTCAAACTGACATTATTTCTGTAGGATTACCTATGTCTAAATTATGTGTACATTCAAATATACCTGACATTACCACTGAGACACTGGGATCACCTAAGGAACTGATGAAGAGGATCTGGGTGCATGCATGGTGAAAACAGATACAGCAGAGCATTATCCACTGACCACACTCACACCAACACACACACAAAACTCTTAGTTCATGGGGGGATTATAATGCGATAAAAGTAGCAATCAACAAATATAATTGTCTTCTTTAATGAGATCACAGCATATGAACAGTAATAGCACCCTTACAACAGTCCAAGATCTCTCTAAGTCTCAAAGCTTTTCATTTTATCAGAACAAGAGGTGGCAACAGGTGTTGCTGGGCCTCAAGGCAAAGAGTACTGCAGCTCAATACAATACATTGAAACACTCTCACAAAACTCTCCAAATCGTCCTAAGCACAGCTCAGATCACCTCAAAATCTCTAACACACACAATACACAACTCAAAGCTTTGCGCTCTAAGCAAAAACCAATCACAAACACATCCACAAGTGCCAAAGAGCACAGATCTCTGTCCACAAGTTTTCAAACCAATCATAGACCCACAGAATTCAAACCTATGTGATCCAGAGACACAAAACCCAATAAAACACTGTCTGACAGACCAAAGGGTTTGAACCTCTGCCACCTGTAGTGGTGCACATCACAAATACTTCAAAAACTCAAGATGATGCCCTTCAGACACTGCTCTCTTATTCTCAGATTAGAGCACAATCCAAAACCTCTTATCAAACTGGGCTTAAGTTCTTCATGAGCTTCGATGCCTTGTTTAGTTCTCACAGGTCTCTCAAGGATGTTCAATAATACATTTATTCTCTTGCCCAAAGTTACTAACACAAACTCAGAGCCTAGAGTGTAAGGCTTTCTATGCCTAATACACTGCAACTGTGGGGGGTCAGAAACTTCTCCTCCAGTCATACAATACCCTATTTAAATGCTCTACTATGGTAGTTACTAATACAATCCTGCTATGGTATCCTCAAAGCATGAGACTCTGTGCTGGATCCCATGGGTATTATTTGCATGCATATTGCAGTCACCACATTATTTGCTTCTGGGGGATGACTGTGCCTGCTGTTCCTTTGCTAGCTGACATCAGCTAGCTGGCCTTGCCAGGTCTGCTTGCTTTCTTATTTCCCTGGTGATATCTCTGACAGCGGTAAACTGTGCCAAACCCCCAGGATTATCTCTCATGCCAGGAGTCAGCCACAATGGCTATGTTCTGCTTCCCTGTATCCAATCAGTCATTCTATCTGACTCACCAAAGGTGCCATTTCTTGGTATGATGTGGAGTCCCTCACTGTGTTATGCATGCTAAGACACCATATGTATATGTGCAAGGCTCAGGGCAGTATGTGTGCTATTCATTCCTGAGATAATATTCCTCTACTTATTACTTTGTTGTCATCAGTCTATTTCTCTATTCAATACCCATTTACTCAGATACCTTTCTTTGGGTCTCAGTTCTCTGTTCTAAGGCATGTCCCATCAGTGCATCAATGGCTGTGCATCTTTGATCAATGTGATCAGACTTGCTGATCATATTTCAATCATAGTCTTTTTATTTTTAGCATGTCCTCTTATAATGGTATTAGCACATTTAGGGCCAAGTGCTGGGACCTCACATACAGCCTAACCCCTCTGGTATTAGTCTGTTACTAGGCCATGCACTCTGCTTATTGTTTCTTCAGTTTAGCATTATGATAGCTAGGTTTCTGTGTGCTCAAGTCCTATTTTCTGTTACATGCTTACTGGCCTGGAATGCAGTCCATGTATTCACAATTTTCACAATTTTACATGCCTGAACATGGAGAGGGCATGTCACCGACTCAACTGCCTATGGGCTGAACATGGGCAGAGGGTCTCATTGGTTGGCTAAAACCATTCAACACCAAATGGACTTTGTGAGCTATCAAAGATGCAAAGGATGAAGCTGCAGTGAAAGCCATGCTCAGGAATTGGATCCACAAGACCTGGGCTGAAGAAGTAGTGGATGATGTGATCAAAGAAATGAAGAAGGTCGAACAGTGCCAAGCCCTAGAATGGTTTGATGAACTATGAGGATCACAGAAGTTTATCCAATGATCTAAAACATTAGGCTAAGATCTTTTGGCCAAAGCCTGGATCAAGATCCTGACTTCCTGGAGCATGTATATGGTCACTGCTCTAATAAACAGTGGTTGTACTGGTAGCTTCATCAATTGTGCTTTCATCAGCAAGCACAACCTTCCTATCTGAGCCACAGCAGCTCCTATTCCAGTCTATAATGTGGATGAAACAAAAAACCAAGCTGGTTCCATCACTGAGTTCATAGAGCTTAGACTCACAATCAGTGATCATTCTGAGTGGATCAACTTGGCAGTAACTGATTTAGGGACCAAGAAAGTTTTTCTTGATCATGATTAGCTCATATGTCACAACCTGCTTATTAACTGGAAGACCAGGTACATCACTTTTGCTAGATGCTGATGATAGAAGATCCCATTTGAACTACCCAATGAAGATCCCAAGGATTGGTGGGATGAAGAAATAAAAGATGGTGAGACAATTCTTGCCATCAACTTACAGCAGGCAATTCACATCCACACCATGTGCCATGCAAATGACCTGGTGGTGAAAGCCAATGCTGACAAGGAGAAAAGAACATTCAAAAAGATGGTATCTGAGTGGGCATAGGACTATTGAGACTTATTTGAGAAGGAAAGTTTTGATGAATTACCTGACCCAAAGCCTTGGAACCATGCCATAGAACTGATTTCTAATGTGAATGCTAACCTGGATTGCAAAACTTATCCACTTGGCAACAATGAACAACAAGAACTGGACAAGTTTCTCAATCAGAACTTATCCAGCAGGAGGATTCAGCCATCAAAATCTTCAATGGCCTCACCCTTCTTCTTTGTCAAGAAGAAGGATGGAAAACTCTGACCAGTACAAGATTACTGGAAGCTCAATGAGATGATGATCAAGAATTGCTATACACTTCCATTGATCTCAGAATTGATGG